AGTTTTCGGCAGACACAACATCTTTGTTTGTATGTGGTGCTGAGGATCGAACCTGGGCCACACGCATGCCAGGCGAGTGTGCTACCACTTGAGCCATATCCCCAGCCCTAGCCTCTTTAAAAAAAATTTTTTTTTTTAGTTGGAGGTGGACACAATATATTTATTTATTTATTTTTATGTGGTTCTCTCATGCAAGGCAAGCACTCTACTACTGAGCCACAACCCCAGCCTCACCTTGTTTCTTAATGTATACAGTTGGAAGATAATAATACCCACCTCATAGTTTTGATGAGAATTAAGAATGTTACATATAAAATGCTTGGAAGAGCTCCTGGTGCATAATTAGCTCCATAAGGCATCAGTTATTGATTTTTTGCTTCCCTGGGCCAGCTTCCCAGGATCTGCCCAGCATGATTAGACAGGTCTCATGTCATGTATTACTTTCCTCTCATTCAAAACTGTCCTGGGATTCCTCCAGAGTCTCAATGTGATGCTTCCCTTAATGAACAGCAATGTGGCCTAACAGAAAGGAAATGGATGAGCTTTTGCCTTAGTCTGACTCCTAGCTCTGTCATTATCAGCCATGTGATTTTTTTCTTTTTTTCTTTTCTTTCTTTTTTTTTTTTTTCTTCCTGGTACTGGGGATTGAACCCAGACCCTTGAACATGCTAGACAAGCACTCTATTGACAAGCTCCATCCCCAGCCCTTTTTATTAGGAGACAGGGCCTCACTAAGTTTCCCAGGCTGGCCTTGAACTTATAATTCTTCTGCCTCAAACTTCCTGAGTAGCTGGGACTACAGGCATATACCATGACACCCAGCTTTAGCCATGTGATTTTGGACAGGTTGGTTATTTCATCTCTTTGGGGCTCATTTCCTCACATATGGAATAGAAATAAAATGCTTAGGGTTTTGTAAGGTTTTTCTAATTAAATGTTTTTTTTAATGTCTGGTACATAAGAGGTAATCAAATGTGAGTATCATTATAATTTAACTTTTAAAGTCAAATTTTAAAAATTATTAAGCCCTCATTTCCTCATCTGTAAAGTAATGATAATAATATCAACCTTGAAGTGGTTTTGTGAATATGAGAGATAATGTAAGAGTTAGAGCCTGGCAGAGCATTGAGCACATGGTAGGTTCTCAGAAAAGTTCATAGTAGCTGCTGTTACTGTTGATATTGCCATTGCTATTTCATTTAAAGAAAAGCAAGGTTAGAAACAACAAGCCAGCTCTCACTATCCTCTGATCAATGGAAGGTAGTCTAGAGAATTGCTCCTGAACCTCCCTCTTTTATTTTTAAAAAAATCACATTGACGAACATTGATTCCTCTCCCACTAATGAGAGTCAAAAATAGAACCAAAGAGGAGACAGGAAGGAGAAAGAAAGAAGAATGACTCACTGGCTACTTGAGGAAGGAGACCATGTCATCAAGAACAATCAAGTCGCTTCTAAGCAACAGACATTCATTGAACTCTTCATATGAAGAAAGCATTATGACAAAGAATGGACACCAGAGTGAGCAAGCCACTGCCCAGGCCTCCAGCAACTCTGTCAGTGTGGCAGACAGACACACAGGTAAGGGGATGAAGACTAATGTCAACTGAACACCTATTATGTGCCAGGGCATTTTGATAAGTGCCTTATATATGGGATCTTTTCATAATTTGAGGTAATAAAATAAAATTGCTAGTTGAGCATTGCTCTGTGCCATAGATTAAGTACTTTTCCCATTTGATTTAATTTTCAAAACAGCCTTCTGAAATACTCTTACCTCCATTTACAGATAAAGAAATGTCAAATAACTTGCCATAAGATCTCGAATCCAGGAACACTCTACCATTTGTCAGTTCATGGCAAACTCAGAATCAAACTTGGACTCTTTCTGATTGCAAAGCCAATGCTCTTTTCAGAACAACTGTTCTCCTACATTATTTCTATTAATTATAATTTCAGCCTGAAGCAAGTCAAGTTTGCATCTCTTTTTCATATATCAATTAACTGAGGATCACAGAAGTTAAGAAAATTGCTAGTCACAAGCTATAAATGATCAGAGTCAACAGGTTCAATCCCCAGTATTACAAGAAGAAGAAGAAGAAAAAAAAAAAGCTGAGTTAGGATACAAATTCCATCAAAGCCTTTGCATTTTCAATACAGCCTACAGCCAACCAGACTGTGTATACTTGTTCCTCTGCTCCCTGGGACAGGACCCAGTTCACCCAACAGCTTCCCAGACAGGAGGTCCTCCAACCATGGCTAAGGCTACCAGGAATCCTTCCAAGGACTTTCCTTACACCAGAGTATAAGACTGGAAATCTCTTGCAGATATTAAATGAAATAATGTGTCTAGAACACAACTGCTCAACTAATATTCACTCCTACCCTTAACTTCTTTACAGAGATCCCTCACAGTCACCCATACACACGCTAATCATGTTTGCTTCACATTTCTGCCCAGGCTACACTCTGCTACATGTGCTCTCTCCCAGCTTTTCCAGTTGTCTTGACCATCATATTGTTGAATTCTAAAGTTAAAAGGAACCTCATAAGTTATTCAATCTACTCCCTCAATCAAAGTAGGCATTCCTTCCATGCCACATTTACATTGTTTATTTATTTATTTGTTTGTTCTAATTTATTATATATGACAATAGAATGCATTTTGATTCATAGTACACAAATGGAACACAATTTTTCATTTCTCTGGTTGTACACAAAATAAAATCACAGCATTCATATCTTCTTACATGTATCTAGGGTAATAATGTCCATCTCATTCCATCATCTTTTCTACCCCAATACCCCCTATCCTCACCTCCCTCCCCTTTGCCCTATTTAAAGTTCTTCCATTCCTCATATGCTCCCCTTCATGGATCAACATCCACTTATCAGAGAAAACATTCAGCCTTTGGTTTTTTGGAATTGGCTTACTTCACTTAGCATGATATTCTCCAATTCCATCCATTTACCTGCAAATGCCATGATTTGATTTTCTTTTAATGCTGCTGAGTAATATTCCATGCCACATTTACATTGGATATTTCCAGTATCAAACTCACACCACCTCTCCAGGCAGTCATTCCACTGACCACAATTCTGGTTATTAGAAAATTTCTTCCTTTCGTTGAGCTGAAATCTACTTTCTATCCATTGACTTAACTCTGTTCTCTGGAGACATGAAGAATAAATCTACTGATTCACTCATGTGGCAGCCATCCAAATATTTAAGTCCTGTCTTCATTTAACTATTTTAGAGTTTTTTCCTCTTATTATCTGTCTTAATTCACAGAAATGTGAGAGATCTAATATCTGCATTCCACAAAAGGGGCAATTGAGACTTAAAGAAGCAAGATGGGGACTGATGAAAATGGGCTTAAATAAAACCAAGTCTTAAGTCTCCAAGAGACCAGCGCCCTTTTCACAAGGCTATATCACTGATGTTTTCAGTCACCTGTCACAGGGACCTTGACAATTAGCAGAATGACCAGAACAGTGAAGGGAACTTGAAACCTACTAAAGATGTTAAGCCCTGGGGGATGGGGAATAGTAGGCTCTCTTCAGATATCTAAAATGCCTAAAGGGTTTACTATCTCTTTTTCTTTCAAATCTTTACTGGACACTGATTTTGTGCCAAGATAGATACATAGATAGATACACCACAGTGTATCTAGCATTAAAGTCTACAGTGTCTGTTTACTGTAGAAGATAAACCTGTATTGGATTGAGTTCTGATGTAGGAAAGGCCCCTTTCCTGTGCCTTCCTTGTGCCTTTCCTTCAAGTAACATCCTTCTTTCAGAGCTCAGTTCAGCATAGCATTCCCACCATCCTGGCAAAATCAAATGCTCCCCAATTATATGCTTTCCTGGCACCATGTGCTTCTTGTTTGAAAATCACTCATCCCCACTGTAATTTTGTATTTATTTGTATAATTATTTGATTAGGATCTGTCTCCCCTGCCAAACTGCAAGTGCCACAAGAACAGGATGTCTGGTTTCACTTACTATTGTGTCTCCAGTGCCTGGCACAGCACCTGGCACATAAGGCTGGAGTGTTCCAATAAATATCTGTTGAAAGGATGAATTTATTGGGTGCCTGAAACATTGTGGATAGAACACACTGAATGTCAGATGAGTCTTTCTGAAATTCAAATCTCATCATCTCCCTCTGAGTCTAAATATCTTCCTTGGTTTTCTAAAGCCCACAGCTTCTCAGTAGTTATAGACCCTTCAAGATCTAACTCAGATTTCCCTGCCAATTTCTGGTGTCTCATTCCTTGATGGGATCAATGAGTTCCAGTTTTTCCTAAATATCTGTGGTCTCCCAAACACAGAACTCCTTCATACCTCTGCACCTTTGCATATGCTAATCCTTGCTTATACTGTCCCTTCCTTTTTATAATATGGGACCTTACTCACAGGTCTTCTCTGAAGTTTTCCCCTGATACACCAACACACAAGGTAACTTCTTTCCCTGCCTATAGAAGGTTTGGCATTGTATCATTGTACATATCATATTCACTATAGTTTCTGGCTCATCTGTCTGTCTTCCCTTTTAGACTGTGGGGACCTTCAAATGGAATTGTATTTAGACCCTCAACTATAGCACCTGGCACATAGTAGGCACTTAATAAGAATGCTGGTGAATGAAACTCAAAGGTTGACTATGTACTGAGTTGGGAACTCATTTAGAACTTCAGGGTTGAATGAAATAAGCCCTGTGACATCATACATGCCATCACCTCTTTTTGGTCCCTTTCATTGTTGTAGAGGGAGGGCTAGTTGTGGCTCAGTGGTAGAGTACTTACCTCACACCTGTGAGGTACTGGGTTCAATCCTAAGCACCACATAAAAATAAATAAATAAAAATATTGTGCCCATCTACAACTAAAAAAAAAAGAGGGAGGCCCAGAGTAGTGACAGAACTTGGGAAGCCACACAATGAGTGAGAAGTTAACTCTGGTGCCTCAACCAAGTCCTGCAACATACTCCCCTAGTGTTATACTTCCCGAGTGTTATGATTTGGATGTGAGGTGACCCCCCAAATCTCATGTGTGAGAAAATGCAAGAAGGCTTAGACGTAAAATGAATGGGTTATGAGAGTCTTAACCCAATCCATGAATTAATCCCCCTATTGGATTAATCAAGTGGCAACTGAAGGCAGGTAGGATATGGCTGGAAAAGGTAGGTCCCTGGGGGCATGCCTTTGGGGCATATATTTTGTATCTGGCAAGTGGAATCTTTCTGCTTCCTGATTACCATGTAAGCTGCTTCCCTCTGCCACACTCTTCCCCCATATTTTTCTGCCTCACCTCAAGTCCTGAGGAATGGGGCCTGCTGTCTATGGACTGAGACCTCTGAAACCATGAGGTCTAAAATAAACTTTTCTCCTTTGCAGTATTTCTGGTTGGGTCTTTTAGTCACAGCAGTGAAAAAGCTGACTAACATACCTAGTGAGTCTTCTCTCTCTGCCCCTCTTCAATTCTCTCCCTCCTGGCCAGAGTTGGGTAGGGATAATAGGCACCAGGAAGGTAGGTAATGGGAGTATTAGGGCTGGCTCTCCCCATACCCATTCTCAGAACCACAGATGCTCAGCGTCAAGTCCTTTGTATTTTGTAGCAGCTGGGAATCAAGGCTTTATGTCTCATGGGAATGGGAGAAAACAAGTAAAAAAAAAAATCTGGAGCCCAAGGACACATAAGTAGCAACTGGTTATATCCTTCAGGAAAAAAGGCAAGAAAGAGGTCACTGGAGTCCAGGACTGAGGGTTATGAAGCACTGCACTGTGCTCTGTGATCCTATCTAGGCTTTGAAGTTCAGGTCAAAGGGTACCTATCTTGGGAAGTCCTTCGTGATGTAGTTTCAAAATTCATCACCATTCCTTTTGGAATGTACTTTGGCTTCTTTTTTAGCAGTAGCAGAGCACAGACTATGAGAGCTAGATGATTCTTGAGAGAATATCAATTTCACATGTATTTACTGAGTCTGCTCTGCCAGTGAATAAGACCTATGTGATTCCTACTCTCAGAATTCTCATAGTCCAGTGGGGAATTTACTATACAGGTGACAAATGCTATGATAGGTACACACAGAGTCAACTCCCTTGTTTTAGTCAGCTTTTTTCTTTTCTTTATTTTATTATATTATTATTATTATTATTTTTTGCTGTGACTAAAAGACCTGACAAGAACAATTTTAGAGGAGGAAAAATTTATTTGGGGGCTCACAGTTTCAGAGGTCTGAGTCCATCAAAGGCCTGCTCCAGTCCTTAGAACTCAAGGTGAGACTGAACATCATGGCAGAAGAGTATGGCAGAGGGAAGCAGCTCATATGATAATCACAAAGCAGAGAGGGACTACACTTGACAGATGCAAAATATATACACCAAAGGCATGCCTCCAATAACCCACCTCCTCCAGCCACACCCTACCTACCTTCACTCATCACTCAGTTAATCTCATCAGGGATTAATTCACTGATTGGGTTAAGACTCCTAATCATTTCTCCTCCAAACCTCCTTGCATTGTCTCACACATGAGCTTTTAGAGGACACCTTACATCCAAACCATAACATCCCTAAT